TTTTTTATTTCTTTATAATAACCAGGGAGTAAGTGTTATGTTATAAATCAACTTTTACAACACAAAATAAACTTTATCTTCAACATCATCTAATTAAATATTTTTATTTTTTATTTTATAGATAGTAAGTATTATATTATAAATTAAACTTTTACAACACAAAATAAACTTTATTAAAACATCATCTAATTAAATAATTTTATTTTTTTATTTTCTTTATAATAACCAGTTAGTAAGTACTATATTATAAATTGACTTTTACAACACAAAATAAACTTTATCTTCAACATCATCTAATTAAATATTTTTATTTTTTATTTCATAGCTTGTAAGTATTATATTATAAATTAACTTTTACAACACAAAATAAACTTTATTAAAACATCATCTAATTAAATATTTTTATTTTTTATTTTATAGATAGTAAGTACTATATCATAAATTAACTTTTACAACACAAAATAAACTTTATTAAAACATCATCTAATTAAATATTTTTATTTTTTATTTCTTTATAATAACCAGGGAGTAAGTATTATATTATAAATTAACTTTACAACACAAAATAAACTTTATCTTCAACATCATCTAATTAAATAATTTTATTTTTTATTTCTTAACCAGGGAGTAAGTATTATATCATAAATTAACTTTTACAACACAAAATAAACTTTATCAAAACACCATCTAATTAAATAAATTTATTTTTTATTTCTTTATAATAACCAGGGAGTAAGTGTTATGTTATAAATCAACTTTTACAACACAAAATAAACTTTATCTTCAACATCATCTAATTAAATATTTTTATTTTTTATTTTATAGATAGTAAGTATTATATTATAAATTAACTTTTACAACTCAAAATAAACTTTATCAAACATCATCTAATCAAATAATTTTATTTTTTATTTCTTTACAATAAAAAACCAGTTGGTAAATATTATATTATAAATTAACTTTTACAATCAAAATAAACTTTATCAAAACATCATTCATTTAATTAAATAATTTTATTTTTTATTTCATAGCTTGTAAGTATTACATTATAAATTAACTTCTACAACACAAAATAAACTTTATTAAAACATCATCTA